ACATCTAGGTCTCAGACATCACGGAAAGATGATGTTAGCCCATATTCTGACAGACATCCACGCCTGGTGGGAAACCTCCCCCGGAGTGACGTTGCAAGTCTGTGTTTCCTATTTATCCTCCCACTCTGTGTATTCAGTGGGCTGGAGTGTCGACGCTTGCCAAGACATGCGAATTCGGTTTGGTGCTGCGTGTGCATTCTTGGCCTTGTCTCTGGGTTCCATGATAAACACAGACCCTGCCTTTTGTGTGGGGGGTGGGGATGGGGAGGGAGTGTCATTAGAGTGAGCAGGAGTCACTTGGTAAATATGGAAAGTGAGGTTGCTTAGCTCCCAGATTTCCATGGCAACCCCCAGAACAAGTACAATATCACCAAAATTATTCTGTGGCTTTCTTTTTTTAGTTGCAGTGATTTGGTTGCATAGTCCTATTTTTCCGCTCCTGATTTGTACAAAAAACACAGACTCTGCCCACTATAACCATTACTTTGGTTTCAAGGACATTAGTGGTGCCTGTCTGAAGCACCTGAAAATTCAGTCACACAGAACTGCCTCTTTCTGTGCTAGCAGAATACGCTTTGATGGCTTTTGGTCACCTTACATTTATTATTTGCCCTGTAACCACTCATGGAGCTTTAGTGTACATTATGCATGGGCCAGGTGCCAGGAATGTGTGACTGATGCTTACCTCACAGATCACTGTAACAGACCCTGGAGGGGTTCTTTGTGGGCATGCATGCCCCTGCCCTGAGTGGTTTGAATTTCTAAGCCCTAAGACCACATCTGGTTTATCACCCTTCGTAGAACATATGTTCATAAAAACATCCAGTGCTCACCCACACGTGTTTACAGTTGTTTGGGGATTTATTTTATCATTTCTTTGCTCCAAGCCCTTGTTTTCTGTGACTAAAATGAAGAGAGATTCTTGTTGACAAACATGTTTAAAGAAAGCAAGCATCCCCATGGACTTCAAGCAGTTTAGGAATACTCCTGAGTTGTGGGCATTCTTTTTCTTTTGGTCATTTAAGTGGTTCTCTCTGATCCTGTTGATTTGACTCATAACTGTTGTTGTTTTTCTTTTTCAATCCACTAGCCTGTAATTTCCTTTTCTTCAGCAATGTAATTGTCATCAATCCTTCTTAGACCTTCTGATGACGATGCCGGAACTGGCCTGAATCATCAGTGTCTCAGACAGGTCCAACTCTGATATTTGAACAATTTGGTTAATTTCATTTTTAAAAATTGTGTTTTCGGCTGCCTGTTCTCATTATTTTTTTCTATTAGGGCAAGTACTCATTTGCCCACCTGACAAAGATCCCCCTGTTGGGAGTGACATTACTGAACCATGTTCTCTTTATATTTTAATTCATAGCAAATGTTCTAGAATATGTCTTGGTATAATTTGCCATAACCATTAAAACATTTGATTGGCTGTTGATTTTACTCTCCACCTCTTTGCTGGACTAACTTTGACTGTCCTGCTCATCTTCGGTGAAACACCTGTCAGTGTTTCAGCTCAGAAGTCTGCCTATACCTAGAAGCTCTCATTCTCACTATTTGAGGTCTCGTGTCCAATAAAACGGTAGTGGTCTTGCGGTCAAAGAGTGCCAGGTTTCCAGATTTCCTTACCATGGGCCCCATCGAGGCTTACCAGTAACAAACAGTCCGACTTTTGATATGTATATTTAGCTTTCTTGACTGCAGAACTATGAAGTTTTATGATTAAAATTTTTGTATCTTCTTGTTGGACAAAGGACTCATTTCCTTGATCTTTTGCCTTTGTTGTCATTTTGATATAGGTTATGCCATATTTGTAAGGTTCGAGATACCTAATGTAAATTGAAATAGAATCTCCAAAAGGATTTATTTTCTAAAAAAGAATTCTAATGACCTCCACTGAATGAAATACTGGAAATCCTCAATTTCAATTTGGGGGTAGCCACTCATTTAATTCTCTTGGCTTTCAAGTCCAGGCAGGGTCAGGCTCTCACTGTCCATCCCTGTCCTTATTCCCATGTGGGTTCATTTCAGACACATGTCAGTTTCCATATGTAGCAGTCTTCTTGCTTCACTCGTTGAAAAAGCCAAAAATTTTACCTAAGTCCCATTTGTAGAATGAGATTCTTAAATGAGTGTTAGGATTCTGATAAAATGTTTGATAAAGCAAAGCATCTTTTTTTTTTTTTTAATATAACTTCTTGTCAAGTTGGCTAACATACAGTGTATACAGTGTGCTCTTGGTTTTGGGGGTAGGTTCCCGTGATTCATCGCGTGTATCCTGGGTGTTGCAAAGATCTTTATCTAATTTTTTTTCAGTTGTGATTTCAGAGTTTTATCTGTCCAGTGTTTGTTTAATCTTAAGGTGCTTACAGTCTATCAACTAAGGTAGACATACAAACACATGAATAAGTGCAAGTTAATAAATACTCTAATATGCATCTGACTTAAATACCTGGCAGTTAGTGTAGGGGTTCACTGTCAATGCCAGTCATTGCCAATACTCGGTAAGTACTTAATAAACATTCATTGAATAGATGAAAATTGAAGAAGATTCTCTCTTAGATACTTTCTTTTCCTAATGGATAGTAAGCAGGAGAAAAAAAGTCCCAAAAATATTTTAGAAAAACAAATGTATTTTTATAAAGGCATTCTTTTTAATTTATAGAATCATAGCCCTCTTATGGGCAACTAAATATAATCACAGGAGAGAGATCAACTGTGGTAATACTCTTCTATTTCCTGCAAATTCAGAGAATTACATCATGCAAACTTGTCCTCAAGCTAGAGTTAATAAAACTATTCATCTCTCCTTGCCTCTGAAGCAGAAATTGACTCCATTGAACCCCAGAAAGGTATCATCTCTAGTCCCCTTTTCTATATGGTGGTCTTGGGCTTCTCACAGTCTTTCAGAAATCTGTATAAGAGTATTTTGGTCAAAGGAAAGTTTCACTTAGCTGATTCATACTGGCAAGTGGCATATCCATTTTCTCAGTGATCCTCTATATGTAATTTTAGAGTTGTTTTTCTTCCTGATAGCAAGTTCCCATTTAAAGGCCCTGGTAGTTTTCCTGCAACTTGGCTCATTGTAACTCTTTCAGTTTCTCTTTATTTGTTGTTGTTTCTGTTGGAATTGAAGCTCTTGAAATAGGAATAGTTCTAAATCTCAGGAATCAGGTTAATAATCTCCTTGTTTTTGAGATGTACTTAGAGTTCAGAAATGTCCCAAAAGCCTCACAGGATTTTTTGACTCTTAAAGGTTTTTACTCTTATAGGGTGTTGTGGTTTTTGATTCTTCTATAGGGTTTTGTGAGGGTTTTTTAAAGTTTATTTATTTTGAGAGAGAGAGAGAGAGAGAGAGAGAGAGAGTGTGTGAGCAGTGGAGGGCCAAAGAGAGAGATAATCCCAAGCAGGCTCTGCCCTGTTAGCACAGAGCCCAATGCAAGACTTGATCTCAACAAACCATGAGATCATGACCTGAACCGAAATCAAGAGTCAGTCACTTAACTGACTGAGCCACCTAGGCGTCCCTCTTCTATAGGGTTTTAAACATGGCATTGACAATTTGCCAAGGTATTAGGGGCTTCAGGTGTGTGTGTGCGTGTGTGTGTATGTGTGTGTATGTTTGTGTATTACATGTGAAAATTACTCTAACATCATCTCATAAGCATAATACATTTGTATGCACATGACTAGTGCAAATGGAAAAATATTTTTTATCACATCAGTCTCTTTATTGCCTAAAGAGACCTGAGTTTAAATGTCACTGTCTAAACTACCATGTCAATGAGTCCAGTCTGTCTTCTTAGGGACATGGTATACCTCTGGCTTGTTTCAAAGGTCCAGTGTGCATTAACCCAGATACACTATTTCCTGATAAGTGAGTTGATTGTCTGCAATGGCAGCTGATTTCATTATGGTGTATCTGTATTGACTGTGGGACAAGAATGACCTTCCAAGTCTCTAATATTTTTGCTACAGCAGTGGTGTCTGTACCATTTAGCTAAATCGTCCCCCCAATTTTATCTTCATCACATGATTCCAAGCTTTTAAGGATGGGAAGAAAAAGAACATTATTTTCTTTGAATAGTGTTCTGCAGCTTACAAAATGCATTCTTGCATATGATCCCACTTGATCCTCATGAACTCCTCAAGCTGTGCAAAGCAGCCGTCCTTCTCCCCATTTGATAGATGGGTTAACCAAGAAACAGAGTGAAAATTGCCTGAGGCCACTCAGCCAGTCAGGAGTGGAGGCTTCAAGAGAACTCTGGTTTCTTCCTTACCAGCTTAGTAATACTCTCTAAGCCCAAATATAACTGCGTGGACTGTGTACTTGGTGTTTTATATGCAGACTACTCTGTAGCCCTTATAGATCTGTTAATCAAAGAACTAACTTGAAGCTAGACATCAAATACATGGAGCTGGAGACAACCCAGAAAGGTCTGTCTTTGGCGTGGTCAGGAATTTACATTGCAGAGTCATAAGAAAGTTGATGGCCAAGGTGAAGATATTTTATAGTGAGGTGCTGTAGAATTGGAGGTAGGACGTGGCCCTGGCAATTAAGACCAGACTGGGGGCAAGAGTTTTAGAATAAAAGGTGAATGGCACAGAAACCAAGGGGATCTGTTTGAATGCAAGGGGCTGTGAAGGCTGCTCTGTTCTGCCCATCTGCCAGTCAAATGAAGACACACAATTCATAATGCAGTGGTAGGACCACGAGGAAAATGGGTGGTCCATGTTGTCGGGTTTGGGGGGGTGCGGGGGGGGGTTGCTCCAAA